ACACTGCACGCAGATTTGTTTCTTATTACTTTGAAATAAAAATTAATTTGGTTATACAGGCAGGTAAAGTATAAGTATTGCTATAGAATTTTAATAGGAACATATTATATGTAATCGACATATGTTTCATTCCAACAATGGCTGCCTTTAGCGTCAATTGGAGAGGCAGTCTTCCTTGAGGTTTTGTTAAAATTCAAATATATATAACGGTACATTTATAAGGGAAATATGTTTAATCTGCATAAAATTAAGCCAAATTAAATATTAGAATTTAGGAAACAAGTACTAACAAATAAGTACAGTTACCGATATTTTATACGAAATGAAATACTGAGTTAGTCCACCTACGCTCTAAAGTATCAGATCAAAATGAGGAATAAAAAATCAACTATAATTTTTAATAAATAAAAACCCTAAAGTGCAATCACACATATAACATTAAATTAACATACGAGTATGTGATACAATGAACCACAATATCAGTCCATAAGATACAAATGTTTTATTTTTCCTTGTAGACAGTTCAAAATTTTCAGGAGGAACGTTTTAATGTTAAAAATAAAGATGACTGATAATCGGTGAGTTGCACAAACGTCCATTAAGGCTTAATGACGGCTTTAAGCTCTAATGAATGTCAAATTTGTATCGGTAATGTCACTTTAAACTAATGACAATTTTAATGCACGTTTGTGCAACTGGCTGAATATCAATTTTTTTTTACACCATTAGCCATAAACGTGACCAACAGAAAACAAAAGTAACTAAACTATTAATAAAAAAACAACACATCTTGATAATACTTCTGTTCCTGAACTTTTCAATGTAATTGCGGAAATCTCCGCTATCAGGTGTAGTTTCTCCAATTGATAATTTACAATTAAACGTGCCGTTTCTTTGTTTCACATGTCGATTGTTGCCATTATCACGCTCTATTGGAGCATGATTTGGCTTTTGTCTGTGTTAAGTAACCATGGCGTTAGCCAATCTAAGTATTGCGTTTTACCGGGCGTTTATGTTTGCTCCTTTGTTCTATTTTAGCAGGCTATTTACAATAAGCATTTAACAAATTAGTATATGCCGTGCTTTTAGTATGCTTGAAGCACTAAAAGATCAGGTTGCTACTTAGGCTTATGTTGCACCTGAAATAGACAAAAAATTAAATGAGAAAAATATTTCTGCTTTCGCCATAATTATTATTTATCCAGGGTTAAGATTTCCAGGTATTTAGCCAATTTCAAAATGCGATATATCATTAGTATTATCCATTGAGTAAATACGTTTTGATACAATTGCATTGAAAAAAGTATGATTGAGATATATTAGTTCATAATGTTTAACTAATTTAGCACTATTTTACTTGTAAATAAAACGAAACCATAAACTAAAGCTTTGGGACCAGTAAAATTATATCCGCGAGATGTCTAGTGTTTGTTGATTATTTTTTATCCTCATTATGAAATATTTACCTAAGCTCTTAAGAATTACAAAGCTAAGTTCTTGATAAAAAAGCTCTTAAATATATATCAATATTTCACTAGATCATATTTCTCCGATATTCTATTATATGGCTAGTGATATAATTTAATGCTTTTTGTGGATTAAAATGTTATTTTTCCAAGATATCTATATTCGTTTTGTTTAGAAATTGGTCCAGCATTTTAAGATTGTAGAATTGGTTACTCACTCACATTTCCAACCGCCTAATGAGTTCGCAAGGACAGAATGGATTTTTAAGCATCCTCATTAAGAATATTTTCGATTATAACACTGTGAATGCAAGTTTTCATCTTTATCGGAAGTTTAAAAAATATTTGTGAAAATATTTCTTTCAGCTGTTTGAGTGGATTGCCAGAATAGCAATGAAAATACACTCTGTGGTAGCGAAAAAAGTAACAATTGCTTGAAAGATTCATCAGTCCTGTTCGGTCCTGGGTAGCTGTAGTTAGAGAAGTCCCCGGATTACGAAAGATCGTGGATTCGTATCCCATCCCAGAGTACCAGGTACAAAGTGGATTTTTTAATTCAGATTTCGAAACAAACTTATAAAACTACGGCAAAATCTATCATGTGGGAGATTATAGAACTTTTAATGATGTATGTAGTTCGTAAGAAATCGAAAGTCATCTCCTTCAAAAATGAAACAACTTTTAAACGGTACTTGGCGTTTTTATTTAGTTTTATTGACGTTTCTGACCCTTTATAGGTTCTGTGTTCACATAAAACTAAGGTATTGATAATCTTTTTCAAATTCACACTACAATAAAAATATTAATTAAATAAAAATGTTTACATTTGTTCAATTAAATTATTTAAAAAATACATTTGACTTATTTATTTACACCAGTCTACTGTAATCTACCACGAGTTCTAAATTTGGCAGTCTTGTCTGAGAAGAACTGGCGAAACAAACTCCGACAAGAAAAGTGTATTGCTACTTTTTATTTAATATTTACAGAATTCACTTAATGTATCTTTTGATTTTGCAATGTGTGATCTGGATTGATATTTTATTTGACTAATTACTGGATCCACAAGCCAGTGGTATATGCCAATATATTAAAATTGGGTTTTTTTTTTAATTTAATGGCCTCGCGTATCATTCTAGGGATGAATCTTTGTTCAACCGCAAGAATTTTTGGTTTGTCAAATCTTGTGTAATACTTGGGTCCTCCTAACGCATGTTCACACACTGCAGATTTATTTTTGCGCCTATACTTAAGATCAGCTACATGTTCCCTAACGCGAGTTCCTATACTCCTCTTTGTCTGTCCGATATATGGGAACCTACAGTCGCATTCTAGTTTTGTATGCACGTGCAATTCGAAAGGAGATATTACACTTAACAGGTCTTAAAAATTTGTTGAAATATAAGAAATCAATTATCTTCTTCAAGTTAGTTTTTGTAAAGCCACTCATGATTTGGATTTTTATTAAATACTAGCTTTCCGCCAGCGACTTCGCCCGCTAGGGAACTCTTTATTTGGATATCGATTCATATCATGACATGAATATAATTACAATGACGAATCGAATAGTAGCAATGGTCCCCATGGTAACGTTTTAATTCCCTATCCACTTCCACTATTATTTACATGCCTTTATTTGCTGTTTTACGTAACAAAATTTAGCTTATATTCACCGCATATGATGTAGCTTCCCGTAGGTGAAAGAATTTTTAAAATCATTCCAGTATTTTAGGTGCCTATTCGTTGAAAACAACGAAACAAACAAACAATGAAATTTCTTACTCAAGTCTGCAACATAACAAAAGATATTGTTATGTTTCAAAATATATATATTATCCCCGATGAAAATAGTTCAGTAGCAATAGATGGACAAACCACATATTCCTTATTCTTATTATAGATAAGTATGAAAAGCGACTCCGCTTCGCTGTGACATTTGTTTGGTTAAAGTCCTCTTTTGTCTCGGAGATTGTACCTCTCTTTATTGCTTGATCTCAGAATGGCACTTATAATTTTAATGTTCTCACCCATCATTTATACATAAACTTTAAGACAAAAAATATAGAAAGATATTATAGGTAACTCATTGTATAATTTTATATACAGATAAGCTTCAAACATGACGTGTCAGCAGTGCAGGTGATGATAATAATTATACTTTATTCCACTTCTCAACTAATAATATCAAAACTGTCATTAAAAATAGTTTAAAAATCACAACGAAAATATTGTTTTTACCAAAAATTGTTATTTGTAACTAAAATATAAAGTTTGTCGTGAAAATTAAGACATGAATGACTAGGAAATGTTATTAGAATGTATTAGGGAATAATAGTGGAAAACTAGACAGCTATGCTTTTAACTATATTTGTCGCTGTACTTGTATTCAGTAAGTAAATAAGAGCTTTTAATGTTTTTTTAATTCAAGATGCTTCTAAATAGTCAGAATTTTATTTAGATATTTATAAAAGGCGTTTAATAAATTTCAGAAACTTCTGTTGGAGACGAGCGGTTAAAACTGAATACAACTTCAAAAAATTGAAATGTTTTTTAAAACCACAAAGGTGGTTAAGTTATTCAAGAATCTTCATTTAAAATCGGGCTGTTTAAAACTTGAACTAACATGCATGATATATTTTAAAATTATAAAATAAATAATAATAATATGGGTGCAACAAACAGGACACAGAACAAGTACATCATACAAATGTAAAGAAAACAACGAAAACGCATTAAAATATAAGCAATATATTCAAGATCCGGAAAGAAAATAACTTTAGTAGCTACTCAATGAGCGAGCTTTCCTTACACTCTCTGGAAGAGAGTTTCATATACGGACAGTGCACACAGTAAAGGAATAAGAAAAGACGGCAGCAGTGTGACGAGGAACGTCGGGGTAATACTGGAAGATCACCAAATAAAATTGTAAAAAAAGGAGGAAGAAGGAAATTCTACGTTCTAAATAATTTGACTGTCATATCATTTGCCTCGTAATTAATGCAGAAAAATGTGAGTTCATATCCAGACAAACAAAATTATTGTTTAAATATTCATTCATAATACTAAATACCGTGTAATGTGATAAAAATGAACTCTCAACAATTGTAAGTAACGTTTTGTTCTTTTTCAAATAGTTCATAAAACATATATATTTTTTAATTATTGGACTGAATAATATAAATATATTTATGATATTATTATCCTTGGAGTTCTGTGAAAATACTTTCATCTACACCATTATGCAGATCAAATGACGATTGTTAAAACCAACGCGTGACCCACTAACAAAACAAGCTGAGGCATCGAGAACATTGTTTTCCCATAGCAGCTCATTCCATTCAGAATCTCATTACAGTTCAAAAGGGGTACAACAGATCTGGCGCAATGTTGTTCTCATGGACGTGTCTGTCGTTAGGGCAGCGTGAGGTGACCATTACTACGTACAAAGAGTTGCCTAAAATAGAGAGCTTTTATGAGGCGGGAAGGCAGAGACGCGAGGTGGGGGCGGGGCGGCCGGCTGCAGCCCGCCGGCTCAGTCGCGCCGCGCCGCACAGACACCTCGCACGCCGCATCCACGCGTGCCTTTAAACGGCGCACGCGCACGCGATTCCCCGCCGCGCCCTTCCCAAACACGTGCTTCTAAGTGGCCCCATGATTACAACTAACTGCTCATCATGCAAGAGCAAAGTTCGTCGCGTTCAAGTAAATCCACTCTGAACTCCTTGGAAAGCGCAATCATTAAGCTGAAAAACAACCTGCAAATTCAAGACAGTAAAACTACTGACATGAGCGGACTGCTGGCCATCGACCCACCATCTCCGCATGCGGATACCAAAATTAATACAAGTAAGAATGCTAGTTCATCCTCTACCCCAAATATAAACTTGTCTGTAGCGTCAGCCGCACTATTACAAGAAAATATGCTTCAAAGATCATTACAAGGTGTAGTTATATCCTTGCAAAATGCAATGATGAATTCATTGCAACAAGCTGCATTACTACCATCTAATTCTGCTGCAGCAGCCGCTCTTAACCTACAAGCGCTTGAATCTTATTTGACGTTACAAAGATTAACCTCCGTTTCAACTGTAAGTAATACTAGCCAAACGAATACAACAGAAAATAATCCTTCTCCAAAGCAAGATATATTAAGGATAGCAACGGCAAGTGCAAAAATAAATGAAGTTGATTCGTCTGACAATGCTTCTAGAGAACTCTCACCAAAAACCCCAGAGGAATATCCCATAAATGACGCTATAGCGGCTGAAGACGTTGATTTATCGGAAGAAGTAGAAGAAGATTTAGCTTTACTCGACAATGAAGACGAATTTACTTTAGAACAACACTTGGAATCTACATCGAAAGGGTATGGCTATAGCTCACAAAATTTAGATAATGGATATCCAAGCTTGTTAATGAATGCTATGTACCAACAACAGATGAGTGGTAGTCCGTCACAAGCACCTTTATCGCCTCAAGCGTCGAACTCATCCAGTTCAAAGTCAACAAATAGTTCAACCTCTTCAACTGGTAGTAGTATATCCAATAAACAGAAGACAACTGGAAGTGGTCCACGTACGAAGAAGCAATTCATCTGCAAGTTTTGTAATCGCCAGTTCACGAAATCATATAACCTGCTTATACACGAAAGAACCCACACAGACGAGCGACCTTACTCTTGCGACATCTGTGGGAAAGCTTTCCGACGGCAGGATCACCTTAGAGACCACAGGTAAATATTATTATTACATATTTATATTAATATATCATTAATACATAATTATATTATTATTACATCGCTTATTATTCATGTTTTTTATTTATATTATAGTTATTTCTCAGTTATTTATAAATTGATAATTTAAAAAAAAATATGATAATAAAATGTTTTATCTTTATACCAGTCCCATAATAGATTTATATATATTTGACTCGTATGTATCGTATATAGTATATTAACGGTTTAGAGTATAATAATACAATAATAATAAATTTTCTCTTTATATATTTGTAAGTATGTACATAGATTTGTATGGATTTGTTTAATATGTATTATGTGAGAGTACAGTCCAGTTTTGAACATTTCAAAATGGAATATCTCTATAGAAACCACGATAAATTTGGACGTTTGAATTACTTTACTGTTTTGTCCTGGGGCTGAAACCTCTGTTACAAAACAATGGTAGGAATTTTGTTGTTACAAACTTTTGTTGTTGTTTATTTGTAATGCTGTTAGAATGTGTTGTCAATTCTATATAAGAAGTTTATACAATAGAAAATCATGATTTTATTCACAGAATATGACAACATTTTGTTGTTAATGTAAAATGTTAACGTAGATATATATATATATATATATTGTATATTGCTCACACACAAAAGAAAACATTAATACAGAACGTGATATATTATATATAAAATCAACGCAATGATTAGAGCATATAAAGAATATTTAAAACTCATTACACATCGAACGTAAAAACAGGTAAACTTTATTAATGCTCCCATCGTAAAATATAAACAATTAACAATAAATTTACCCTAAATAACCATTCTAAAACACCATATAACTTAACACCTTATCTCTTCAACAATATCTTCACACCCGAGAAAATAGGTAAATCAAATTGTAGTCATTAATACTTTGTCTTTACCCCGAACGTCGGATCAAATAGCTCGGCCCATTTTTTATAAGATAAAGTGTCAAAACGTAAAAGGAAATCACGATTCTCATTTTTTCGAAATCAATAAAAGATCTTCAGTCTTTTAATATTCAATGCGAAACGTTATGATCTTTTGAATAATGGCGGTACGGTTGAGAACATTTAAAACAAAAAGGGTTAAGTATGGACCTGGGTAGATGCTATCGACACATCGTTCGTCACGCTCGTAAATTATTTCACAAAACTGCCGCTAATCCGAGAAGAGCCGATGTTTTAATTTTGGCCTTCAGACTGGTTTATTTTTCCTTTCTTGCATTCCTTTATAAATGCTTGCAAATGTTAACATCTCGAAATGCTTTTCAGTTATATAAAGGAAAACGAATAGAAGTTAACCTAATAGATAAAACGAATAAACTACATTAAAACATACCTGTTTTGAACAGATAGACCTCCAAACATTCTTACGTATCTCTAAAACAATAAATATCTTAATGCTGTTACAACAAGTCATAATCTCTCTTAATCTATTTTCCACTTATCACAGAGCCCCACCCAAAAAGAGCTAAAAGGTGTAGAATTTTTAACACCTGTCTCTCGGCAATTTCCTTCCAAAATCACCGTATCTCTTCGGCAATAAAATAAATTTCGTGTAGGCGCTCGAGGGTTAAACCCGGCTCGACCTGTCGATGTTCAATCGATGTTCGTTGACACCATACATTATAATGGACCGGAGCGAGCCTTCGACGGGATTTAACAAAGCACGTGGTGATCCTGACGTGAGGATTAATATAGACGACAAAAAATAAACCTTTGCATACAATCGGGTTTTGGAGCAGCTTTTTTTTTGTCACGATCAAGATACGTGGATGATGTTTTCAAAAGATTGGATGAATTGTTGCTAATCATTGTTTTTGTCACAAACGTTAGTGCTTAAGAAAATGCTGTTTTCTCAGTTATCATTTCATGTTACGCGCTCAATTAAGAATCGGAATGGCCGCCTTGATTCCGGTTAGGCCTACATTACGCTCGCGCCGCCCGGTGACTCGACGCGCTTGACTACACGCGCGTTCATATCCGTTCTAATCACCGTCATCTTCTCATGTTTTAATATTCGAATCATTATTCCATTCATCATCCCATAACCCTTTATCGTCACCGATCTAACTAATCCAAACGATTATTACAGATATTACGTTACGTTGAACACGTCGTAATTTTAGAATTTGTTTGTTTATCCGATTTACAGATAATTTCTCGACTTGGATACTCGAATGCTGTTATTTCTCGTTATGTGTTATTATTGATTGCGTGTTAGGCGGTGTTAATTATACGTTGTAGGTCTAAATTCAATTTGAAAGTAATTTTTGATGTTCTTTATGACCATAACGACGTATATTCCCACCATATTTGTAATAACAGTAGTATTCATTCCATATATTAATATTTTTGTGAAAACAAATATAATTAATAAATTACTTGAATAATACAAATAAACACAAACTACGCTTACTTAACTTTTTAAGTAAGCTTAGCTTGTGTTTAATGATAAATCCAAAGAAGGCGGATATCATATTAAATTATTAAAACCACGATAACCCTTGCGACTGATACTCGTAAAGTAAATACAAATGCCATAAATTTTGTTGGGTCATTTCAGAAGATATCTTTAACTAGTAAATACGAACCAACATTTGTTATGTCCACATGCTCGCGCTGGCGTAAATTAATGATTATAGCTATAAAAACAAGGTTGTACGCCAATTTATTACCAATATCCCGCGGGGGCTTGTTTGCTTCCCGCCTGCTCCCATCCACAAGGTGTTCTCAACACGCTCCAATGTTTCGGTGCCTGAAGACATGACGTATTTATTGCACTCTCACAGCATCCTGCGCTAAATGGTGCACTCCTTTTTCGTAGTCGCCTCTTAGTTTATTATTTTATACTTTATTTCAAGTGAAATATCTTTCTTAAGTTGATTCTTTTCTTATTGTTTATTTGATTGATTTATCATAATTGATATTTTTACATTCTTGCTTATATTAAAACTATTAATCGGTATATATCTTATTCAAAAAAAGAAATGCCAGTTCCAGAACCATATAACCGTTTGCAGTACAAACTCTTGAAAATTTTCAAAAACATTCTTACACTCGTATCTAGTCGAGTAACAGTAATTCAGGAAATATGTTTAAGTTGTATTATTTGGATGAAGTAAGAACTGTCAGAATATTATTATTATAAGCTATTTAACGTTCAAACGGGTGTAGCTGAAAATCAGCGTCGGTCTCTTTTTGCTTTAAGAAGTAAAAGATATCGACATAAACGGAGCTAGACACCTTTTCGGTGCAACTGTGGGACACGCATCGCTTTAATACCTACTCAGATGTTATTATTTTCTATCTTTTATATTTTCTTTTAATTTTAATTCTTAATTAATAGTCTGTAAGTGTCCTATGTATGTGTGCCAAATAAATGAATTTATTTTTTTCTTATTTAATTCAAAATTCAATATATTGCTTAATTACACATTTTTATTTTATACAGGTTGCTTAAATCAAAGTTTTTAAATTACAATGTTCCCTGTTTTTAGCAATTAGCAGATACTGTTAATAAATGTTACATAATTAACGTCGTTTTGTATTGTTACAGGTACATCCATTCAAAAGAGAAACCTTTCAAATGCCTCGAATGCGGGAAAGGGTTCTGTCAGTCACGGACATTGGCGGTTCACAAAATCTTACACATGGAGGAGTCCCCACACAAATGCCCAGTCTGTAGCAGAAGTTTCAACCAAAGGTCTAACTTGAAGACTCACCTGCTCACCCACACGGATATTAAACCATACAACTGTTCGTCTTGCGGGAAGGTGTTTAGAAGGAACTGCGATTTGAGACGTCACAGTTTGACACACAATCTTGTCGGCATGTCTTCTGTTAGTACGTCTCCTAGTGGAAGTAATGGCAAAAGTCCTTTGCTTAATCCTAATTTTCCAATAGATAACATAGACACTGAAGATGAAAACTAATAAGTCGATAATGTGGAGTACTTAGTGACAAGTGTTTTAAAAGACTGATAAAATATGCTTACGAAGTTAATGCCGTAAGTTGTAAATAGTCATAAAATTACATTTCATTAGAAAATTATCAATTAAATAAGTAAAGAAATATAACTTTTAACATTACATCCAAGTTTTTGTGTTCTGAGCTATTGTGTTTTATTGGTGATAATTTTGGAATTGGCAACTTCGAAGCATTTAGAATAAGACTTGCAATAAGATTATTGAAATCTTTGAATTCTATCTAGTATTATTTAGAATATAAGTTTCTAAAATCTTGTAAATTTTCTGATCTCATTTTTGTCTCTGTATATATAAATTATGCCTAAGTCAATTCTGTCCGTCCATCATAATTGTTACTTGAAGTGTATTATAAAATAATTTGTGTAACAATGATTATTTAAAATGAAAATGAATTTATAGTGCCTAAGTAAAATTGTCTTCCTCTTATGGATGAGTATTAAATTTTTGAGTGTTGTACTGTTTAAATTTAATATAATTAAATCGATGACCTCAGATGGTGTTTTATTTCAATGTAAAATTTAGGTCATTAATTTTTATAGCTTTAATTTTATAAATTACATCGTTTGTAAACTGACTTGTAATGTTATACAAAAAAATATGAAAATCATAACTAAAACTTATGTTGTGATTTTTTTTTCATAAATTTTATATGCATGATAATTAAAAAGCTCACAGTTAGAATCATCTTTTTCATACACATATTTTTATAGATAAATATGATATAGCTAGTTGTATATATGGTGTTCGCCTCGCTCGCTTTTTGTTTTGATCAGTTATAAACGATCGAGTTTCTTATGCCCGTTTTCACTAACCTAGAACAAGGCTTCACTTAATTACTTAAAGAAATCACTTAATATCAAGAGTAGCATAAGCAGATTTGTTGTTTCACCAAACATGTAATGATTTTGAATGCTTCAGTTCTTCTTCTTTTTTTAATGTATAACTTATTTGTGTTTACACAATTCCACCAATGTCACGTTAGTGGTATTTACACTTAATTAGACAATAACAAAAATATATATTTTGAGGTGATAAAACATGAAAAATTACACGCGGTCTTGTATTGACACGAACACCCAAATCGACATTATCCCTATATAAAAAGTCTGAAAATTCAAAAATTCTTATTGTTTATATCTTAATTTTAATATATAAACTCCTTGATTTCAACTTACTAAATTGATTTTATTGACACATCCGTTATGACCAGAAAGTAAATGTATCTATCACATTACGCAAATGCCCAGCGCTAGGCGCCGCACAATGCATGTCCCAATTTTAAGCGTTGTTTAAAGTCGTTAGTGATTCCTTGTCATCGGTGTAATGCATTTTCAGCTTAGACAATACCCAAATATTTAGGTGTCAGATTTGGGCGACTCCTAAGTTTAGTCAAAATAATTAATCAAAATTAAATTATGCGAAATTATACCATAGATAATTAAACCATAAGAAATTATGTCATCTTATGAAACATAGATTTGTAAACATTCTGCCATTCGTTAATATGCCTAAAATTTTGAATACCTATTCGTCAAATGCATAATCTAACAAGTTTGTTGTACCAAATTTTTTTCTAGCCGGCTAAACTATTCAATACAATAACAGTGAATATTATTCAATATTTAAAATATGAATTGTGATTTTTAAGAATGCGCGTAAACTAAACGATTAACTTATACTAAATAAATTTTAATTAAAAACGACAGCATAAAGATTTCTCATACCTTGACTGTATTATGAATTTATTCACTTAATATTTTTACAATACAATGTTATTGGACAACCTATTATAACAAATAATTAAGAAATATTATTACTGTCGTTAAGTAACTTAACACCCTATTTAAGCATCATTAAACCTGAAAATCGTTTTAACAGATAATTCAGCGAAGAGCTTATTCCTCTTCAAGGATAATCATATCTAATTAAGTCGTTATACATGTTTTCAGATAAAAATGTTCAAACTGAATAGTAATAGGGTTTATATTTTTCGATACGGCAAGTAAGATTTGCAGCTATAAATACACTATTTGGCCACAACTTTTTTGATATGCAATATGTATAATAAAGTAAAAACTGAATAAGTTAATTTAAAATTTTTCTTATAAAAATATTCATAAACTGTAAAATGCCTTTTTTAATAACCAGGAATTCGGGTATTTTTTAAATGTATTTAATTTCACGTCGTAAATATCAAGCCATAATGAATTTATTAAGCAAAATAATTAGAAATAAATAATTTCCCATAATTATTATATTTGATCAACAATGCTATACTGAAGAAAAATCTTAATTAAAGAAGATTTTAATTTTTAACGAAACTTCAAATATTTATTTCGGCTGTTGATGGATTGCCTGAACATTGATGAAAGTAAGCTCTGTGGTTGCGAAAAAAAGTAACAATTGCTTGAAAAATTCGTCAGTCTTGTTCGTTTTGGGTAGCTCATTTGTTAGAGCAGTCGCTTAGGTTGCGAAAAGTTATGGGTTTGAGTCCATCTCAGAGTACTATGGAAAAAGTGGTTTTTTTATTAAGGATAAGTTTCCGTAAGTAAAAGATTTTTTAAAATCGGTCCAGAAATTTCGGGGTCTATTCAATGCAAACAATTCTTTTATTAAGTATAGACGATATATTACTATAAAATATATTACTTTAAACTACTACATTATGATGTAGATAGGTAATTTCATTTAAATCCTACCTACCCACATTATTCTAAAATATAAACCATCGTATACTCTGACCGTAGACATAATTAGTTCATTGCATTCATAATAGATGACGCTACTTGTGCCTCCATTAAGTTGGAGTCACATTTGAATATTTAAAACAAGTTCATTATCTCGAATGTAATCTCATGTACCTACATATATTATGTAACTTTAAGTTATCAAAGTTTGTAGTACCTATCATAATACCTTCTATTCTGACCAAAAAGCTTGTATGAGCACATAGTGGAATATGATTGCTGTTTAATATAAATTTTCAACTGAAATACAATCTTTGTTCACTTATATTTAATCGTTGGTATTTCATCGTTGAAATCACCAATAGTCTCAGGACTAGGTTGAACTAGACTAGGACTAGCTTGACATTGAAAAAGAGCAGCTATTCATCGATGTTCAAAATAGTCTACTGAATTTATACATCTTATCTTTTTGTTATCTGCAATCAGTTGAATTCTTGTTCACTTTTTATATATTAAAATAAGGGTAAACATTAAAATATTTATACAATTATATATTAAACAACATCACATATTGCTCAGATTTTAAGAGAAGTAGCTAATCCCCTGTATTATGGAGTATTTGAGACTTCGAAGGTACCACAACATCCAGACCGGTATCCACTGGGTGTTTTTTTTTACATTGACCCAATAGGGAATCGAACCTGGGGCCTTGAAAGTGGTGAAAAGATTGTATTTTCAGATAAATATTACACTGTAATTCGAGAATCCATCCAGTTTCGTTACTTTCTTAGTTCACAAAGAATAATTTCAGAAAATATTTTTTTACAATATATTTATTTATATTTATAACCTCAAGTATCTGGCAAGATTATCTATAAAATTAAGTGTATTGAAATTAAGAAATGTAAAACTTTCCTGTCACCATCATTATTAATCTGATTATTCACTTTGTTACTAAATTATAATTTATTACACCGTGTTTTTGCCACATTTATTTACAAATTGTGTTATTTTAAATTTCAAACTACTTTATTTCTATATTGTTAACTAGATTTTTTTACTAGGACGACTGGGCGGGTATTAAAAGCTTTTCACCTTTTTAATATTAATATCTCACATCCGGAAACTCATTTATCCGCGACGAGATATAACACAATCTTTTCCATCAGAGTCTTCGATTTTCTTGTTAAAAAGTTATTCGTAATTCTTACAATCTTGAGGCTCAACTATTACAAAGCTTTATTTAGCCCTTATAAATGTTAAAAATAAGAAAGGTCATGGTTAAATTATCTATTGAGTGGTAGATCAAAAGTTCGAACATCAAAAACATTCAACAGGTGAGCCTTAAAAAATTACATCTGCCCTAAAAACCTTGGCATTTGTTGCAAAAGACGAATAACACTATTCACAAACAGACGTAAAAGTAGTAATTATAAGGTTCATAGTAAAAGGCAAGACGAAACGGTGCTATTAGCAACAAAGGCCGACTACCGAGCTTGAAAAATCGATTCAATTCAACACCAAATCGACGCAAGAGGACTAAAGTTATTCACACGAATAAAAAGAGTCCATTGTCGATTCAGGCTCACACAAAAGCTCTTAAGAGTGTATCAAAATGACATAAAGCTCGATTATTCTTTGTAACACAAAACAAGGTATTAATGGGGCCACATGTCTTCGGTTTTTTTCACAGATTTTTGGAAATGGATGACGTGTTAAAAAGGTAACAAATTGTCCTCAGCTCGACTTTTGGTGTCTTGTTGCTGGAAGCGCAACCGCCATATTTTATGCGGATTCCCGTTCGAGGTTCAAATTGAACGATGTGATTTGGCCTTACCAAATTTCATGGGTGTTTTTCTTCTTTTTATTGGCGAATAACTTATTATTATTAATTTAACAGTTAGTTATATATTTTTTGAATTGTATAACTAACTAACGTTATACCAATTTTATTTTAGGTAATTATTCGAAATTAAGAAATATTACATTTAATTTTATAACTAAATTTTGTGTAGTTCATTGCCAAGATTTAGCCTAAAAATGAACCTTAAGAGGTCGATAGAACAGTAGTTAGCGCGTTCGATATAGGATGCGGAGATTAACTTTCACATCGGTCTGTATTAGGATGGGTGACCAAAAAAAAACTATTTAGAGCTCCCTATGCGTTGGAAGGCATGTCAAGCTGTTGATCGCTGCTGCATATGCAATCGTTCACACCTAACATTGTGATGGATTATAGCCCATTAAGTACCTCTATTTGATTCCATTCATGGGGGCGGAAAAAAAAATGTAGGAATAAATCATGCTAACCAAAGACATTTTTACAATATGAAGTCTTAAATTTACATTTATTAAACATTATTTACTTTTTCATTATTTTTGTTAAAAAGTTATTTGTAGTTACAATAAAATCTTACAATAGTAATCTTCGTAAAATGTCAAGGTCTATTAAAAAAAATAAAATGGCCTATGACACAAGTCATTATTGTAAGAATCTACCTCTATGACAACTTAATAATAGGCTCTTGAAACTCATTCGATCTCCAAATTATTCGCAAATTATATAGCAATAACCCTATTCAGGACCAACTGGGATAAATAAAATGCACAAAGGCATTATTTAAAAACTTACCATAGATTTGCGACCATGCTTACAGTATTTATGAAAAATAGGCAATTTTACTACTTTAAAATTAAATTTCGATTAAAATTCTGATATCGTTGCAATTTATAACATTTTAATTATCATTCTATAATTTTCTTATAGTTTTATAAACAAAATTTAATTAAAGCTTCTAACCTAT